TATGGTATGTAAAATATAGCTCAATAAAGCTGTTACGTAAAGAGATTGCATTCTCAGCCCTGTAAAGCAGATCTTTTGAGTCAAGTGGGTTCTGGTTAGGAGCTTCCCAATTTCTCACTAAAATACTTGCAATAGGAGAAAAAAGAAGAACCATGTTATTATAAACAAAAACTGAAAAGAATCTGGGCAGAATCTCCTCTAAGTAGAAAGCAGAAGAGCTGGGTTGAGAAAATGCTATGGTTTGGATGAATGTCCCCCTGAGAACCGTGTGCTGAAGGCTTGGTCCTTAGTTCTTGGCCTTATTGGTTGGTGATGGAACCATCAGGAGGCAGTGCCTTCTGGGAGGAAGTTAGGCAATGCTCTTGAAGGGCCCCAGTGCTCCTTTTACTTACTCTTTGCTTCCTACTGCCATGAATGAGCAGCTTTGCTCTATCATGACCTCCCTGCCCTGATGGTGTACTTTAGCACAGGCCCCAAAGCAATGGAGCCCACTGACTATGGATTGAAAATTCTAAAATCTTGAGCCAAAATAAAACTTTTCTTTTTTTAAAAAAAACTTTATTATTTCAGGTATTTGTTAAGTAATGGAAAGCTAACACAGAAATCAGTCAAGGAATTGTATGAAGAAAGACCCGAGAGGGGCTGGCGTTGTCGCTCAGTGGTAGAGCACTTGCCTGCCAAGTGTGAGACACTGGGTTCAATCCTAGCACCACACAAAAATGAATAAAGGCATTGAGTCCACACACAATTAAAAAATATTAAAAACAAAGAGAAAAAGTCACAAGAGTCCACTGGGTCTTTCCCCCATGGCTGCCCCAAATGCAGAGGAACAGGTAACATATACACAGAAAATTAGGCAGCTGTTCATCTGCATGCCAGCTACTATTCTGGAAGAACTGTCTCTTCACACTCTTTCCCCCCCATTATTAGGCCATAACAATAATATATAATGCTTAATATATAATAAAATATATATAATGCATAATAATAATAATGCATGCTGGAAATTATGGGTTTTTTTTTAATGCTACTTCAGTTGAGTAAGGTATGGAAGAAGGTGATGCAGTCCTCACAGTAGACAAGACATGTTAGAGGGGGAAGGTTACCTAGAAATTGAGTGGGAGCTGTGCATGTCACTGCAAGAGAGAAGAAAAGATGTCATCACAAAGTGGGCCATGAGTAGGGTCAAGGGCAATTCAAGCACCATCTTTGTAGACAGCACAGACTGATCTTGAAGGATGGAGAAAACAAAAGAAAACAAACAAACGAAAAATGTAACCAGTGAAAAACTATTGCATTACAAAGGAACATAATATGGAAATTAGCCTGGAGAGTTATCTGTTTAAACTTGCTTAATGTGGAACTGGAAACTAGTTTTGGGAAACTGTTTGATATTTTCAATAAGGTGCAAAAAAATAAAATAAACACCCCAAAAACATCATTTATTATGAAATAGGAGGAAAAAAAGCCATCAGGAAAAAATAGGTTGAAATGAAATGGCAAGATGAGAAAAAATGAGATGGATGATCTAAGAGTGATGATGATAACAATGATAAATAGAAATTGATAATATTAACTTAATGCCTTCAACATAAAGCGCTATCCATTTTCCTTCATGTCTATCCTAAGTATTTTTGTAATTAATCTTTCCAAGAACACCATGAATATGGTCTATTATTATTATCCACATTTTATAATTGTGGGAACTGAGAGGAATTAAGGGAATTTGTTCAAGTTCACCCACCTGGTTCAGTGTTGAAGCCAGGACTCCAGCTCTGACACTTTCATTCCCTAGCCTGTGCTTTTAATTTGTACACTAAAAAAGGATAGCAAGAAAACAAAAGATATAAAAGCAGAATTAAAAATTAATAGAGACAGTGGAGAAACGAAATTGTGGTGACTTATGCCAAAATGTAAAGCCCAACTAGAAAGAGCAAATGCACACACACACACACACACACACACACAACACATACACACATACGAGAGAGAGAGAGAGAGAGAGAGAGAGAGAGAGAGAGAGAGAGAGAGAGATGGGGCGGGGGAGAGAATATAGAGATGAAAGCCAAAGAATAAAAATTTTCCTTGCTGCCTAAAAGGATGGATCAAATCCTAAGTGGAGTAAATGAAAGGAAAACTAACATCTAAACATAGTCTGTCAAAATAAAAACAAAACCTACAAAAGAACATTAAATAAGGAACATACTGGAAAACAAATTACTGCTACATAAAAAAAAATTCAGCACCACTAAAAAGAAGAAATTTTGATTAGATTCTATCACATTTCAAATGTAAACAGAAAGACAAAATACATGAGGCAAAACGGATAGTGCTTCAAGAAGAAACAAACAAACTCAATATTATAGTTGGACATTTTGACGCCCCTCTATCAGTAATTGACAGTAAGAGAATGAGTGAGACTATAGTTAAATTGAACGATTGGATCTACATTACAGATTATTCCATCTGACAATAGCAGACTATTCATTCTTCTCATGGAGCATTCATTTCTCTTCACATGGAGCATTCACCAAGACAGCCCACATTTTTAGCTATAAAACACTTCAACACATTTAAAAGAACAGAGATCATACAATGTATGCTATCAAACCAATGGAATTATACTAAGAGAAATAAGAGAAAGATGCCTGGAAAATCCCCAGATACTTTGGGATTCAATGACACACTTCAAAATGACATACAAATCCAGGAAGTCTCAAGAGAAATTTGAAAATATTGTGAACTAAACAGAAATAAAAATACGACGTTTCAAGATCTGTGAGATACAGTGAACATAATGTTTGGAGGGAAATTTATAGTGTTAATTACATTTATTAGAAAGGGATAAACATCTAAAATCAATAACCCAAGCATTCATCTTAGTAAACTAGAAAGAGAAGAGGGACGTTCCTCAATTTGATAAAGAATATCCACAAACTGAACAGATAGCACCACAGATAAGAGTCAAAAAATGAGCAGCTTTCCTTTAAGATTGGGCACAAAATAATGATGTCTTCACTTATCATACCTATTCAAAAGCATACTAAAAATCATAGCTAATGGAGTAAGAGAAGAAAAGGAAATAAAATAACACGAAGGAAGAAACAATACTGTATTTGTAGATGACATAAGTATGCAGGAAATCCTAAAGAATCAATAAAAAATTCCTGGAACTTATTAGTGATTATAGCAAAGTCTGCAGGATATAAGATTAAAATACAAAACTCAATTGCTTTCTTATATATCAGCAATGAACAAGTGGTATATTATCTAATAGAATATTATTAGGTCTTTAAAGGACATGTACTACAACGCGGATGAACACTGAGGACATTATGCTAAATGAAATGAGCCAGTTACTAAAGGACATAGACCATATAATTCTGCTGAGATGAGGTACCCAATGTAATCTAACATTTGGTGACAGAAAGTAGAGCCATTGTTGCCAGGAAAGGGAGGAAGAGGCAATGGGAAATCATTGTTTAATGGTGATGAAATTTCAGTTTGGGAAAATGAAAAAGTTCTGGATTTGGATGGTGGTTATGGTTGCATAACAATGGGAATGTTCTTACTGCCACTGAATTTCAAATTATTAAAATGGTAAACTCTATGTCATTTGTATTTTACTAAGATAAAAATAAACCATCCAAAACCAAGAGTGAATGAATATACTATCACCCAACTAATGGAAATGTATGGGACCTCCATGCTATTAGGCTAACAGGTAATCATGCATTACGTGAAATGTGCCAGGTGTGCAGGTGAGAGTGTGGGGTACAGGGCAGGGAACCTATTTGCTCATTCATTGTTTTATTGTTATGAAAAATATCAAAAATACATAAACACTGAAAACATTGTACAGTGAGCACTGGATAACTACCTCTTAGAGTTTATCATTTGTTTTTCTTGTTTTATCACATTCCTCTTTGTCCCTTTATCTACTCATTAATCCATCTTATCTTTTTTGAAACATTTCAAAATAAATTAAAGCCCACCTCTATACTTCCCCATAAAGACTTCAGCATGTATATCATTAACTATGATTCAAAGATTCAGGATTTGTTTATGTTTTAAACAAATATAATAAAATTTAAACTAACATATAATAAAATGCCTATCTTAAACTAACATATAATAAAATGCCTACCTCTTAAGCCTACATTCTCTAAGCTTTTGAAAATACTATGTAAACCAGTTCTCTTAATATACACATTACTGTCAGTCCTGGGAGTTTCCTCATAGCTCTTTATATGCTCTTTTTTACAGCCATAAAAAGTAAAGCTTTTTGGAAAGTATTTATAGTATGATCCTCCTTATGTTGTAGAAATACAGAAAAAATCTGAACACATATACACACACAGTGACATTTCTGGATGATGGAATTCCTATTGATCTTAATTTTTTTCTATTTCTTCTCTGTATTTTCTAAACTCTGAATAATGTATTACTTGGATGGTTGGAAAAAGCAATAAAATCTACTTAAAAGAAACATCTTTCTTTTGGTAAATGATGTCACACACATAGAATACTTGTAGCCCTTAAAATTATCATTTTTGAAGATTATATAGCAAAATTGGAAATATCTGAATATACTAGATTATAATGACAAAAATTAAGAGAAATAATACCATAATTACCATGACATGAAGTATGTAAACACAAGAGGAGAGGAATAGACAAGTGTAAGAAAACAAAAGTGTAGAAACTTCTCATTCTATTAAGAAATTATGGGTAATCCCTCCCCCCAAAAAACCAACACAAGCTGTCACATTACTTTTTCTAAATTAAAGAAGCAGTTTAATATCCTAGAAGATGATGATATCAGGACCACCCGCCTCTTACATATCTAGACCAGCCCTGGAGAAGTGAACCCACTCACAAGACTATAGAACCTTCCTTAGCTTTTATAAGGGGTCTCACATGATTCATGCAGTTTGGTTGGTTTTGGGGCACATACTTAAAACTATTATAACAGGAATAACAAACAAGTACTGAGTTACCTCTATCTGGAAAGATGTTGTTTTTGGTGAGTTTGACACTTTTGGGCCTTGGGTGTTTATCATCCATGCCCATGATCAGGTTGCGGAAATACTGATCAAATTTCTTTCTGCTGTCCGCATTGATGGTGCCGGCCACTGTCCACACCAAAGAAAAGAGGAATAGTCCTTGTAGCCAGAGGAAGACCTGTTGATTTGATAGGCTTTCAAATAATTCGGAGTCCTCCTTATCAATTTCTCTGATTTCATCTAAAAGGAAAGAATAAGAAAAAGAAAAAGGAAGCTCAAGACTGGCAGCAGAGTACCATGGATATGAAAGATGTAAATAACAGGTTTGTGCTAGAAAAGGACCTGGGGAGGTGACTCATATTGGCTGAGTGCCCATCACATTCCATATCCTTAACCATACACAGTTTTTATCATGGTAAAATATTCAGAACATAAAATCTTTACCATTTGCAAGTGTACAGTTTGGTGGCCTTAAGTAATTCATATTGAACAACCATCGAGCCACTGATATGCAGAACTCATCTTGAAGAACGGAGGCTCTGAACCCATTAAACAGTAACTTGCCCTCCCATCTCCCTTCCACCCCTTACATGACCAGCAGTCTACTTTCTGTCTCTGTAAGTTTGACAACTCTAGGTACATCAGAGGAGTGGAATCATACAGTCATTTTGTTACTGGTTTATTTCACTTATCATAATGTTTTCAAGGGTTCATCCATGTTGTACAACGTGTCAGAATTTTCTTCCTTTTGAGGAAGAATTCTAGGTCATATGATTATCCCATAGTTTGTTTATCCATTCATCTGCTGATAGACATTTGAGTTGCTCCTACCTTTTGGAAATCGTGAATAATGCTGCTATAAGCATGGGTATACAAATATCTATTTGAGCACCTGCTTTCGATTATTTTGGGAATATACCCATAAGTGAAAAATATGGATCATATGATAATTCTATGTTTACTTTTTTTGAGAAACCACCAAATGATTTTCAATGGCAGGATACTATGTTAAATTCCCATCAACAGTACATGAGCGTTCCAATTTCTCCACACCCATGCCAATAGTTGCTATTTTCTGTGTCTTTTATTGTAGCCATCCTAATGGGTATGATTTTTGTATTTCTCTAATTATTATTGAAGTTGACCCTTTTCAGGTGCTTATCGGCCTTTTGTATGTCTTCTCTGGAGAAATGTCTACTCAAGTTTTTTATCCTTTTAATTAAGTTGTTTGTATTTTTATGTTAAATTTTAGTGGTTCTCTCTGTACTTTGGACATTAATCCTTTATCAGATATATGATTTGTAAATATTTTCTTCCATTCTGTGTGGGTTGTCTTTTAAATCTGTCAATAATGCCTTTTGATACATAAAAAGCTTTAAATTTTGATGAAGTTGTTTTCTTTTTTTTTCTTTTGTTGCCTATGCCTTTAGTCAAATCTAAGATATCACAGCCATGTTCAGTGTCATGAGATTTTTGCCTTATGTTTTCTTCTGTTCGTTTTATAGTTTTAGCTCCATGTTTAGATCTTTCATCCATTTTGGTTAATTTTTATATGGTATTAGGAAGGGTCCAGCTAACATTTCTCCCCTTTCCCATCTTTTCTCCTTTCCTCTCAATCCCCTTCCTCTAGTCAACTGATCTATTTTTATGGGATTCTCTCCCCTTGCAAACCCCAATTATTTTGATTTAGCTTCCACATATGAGAGAAAACATTCAACCCTTAACTTCTGGCTTATTTTCTTTAGCATGTTCTTCAGTTCAATCCATTTAACCAGCAAATGCCATATTTTCATTCTGCTTTATGCTGAGTAAAACTCTATTGGTGTATAGACCACATTTTAAAAAATCCATTTGTCTGTTGACAGGCATCTGGGCTGGTTCCATAATTTGGCTATTGTGAACTGTGCTGCTATAAATACTGATCACTGATGTGACTGTATTCCTACAGTATGCTGATTTTAGATTGTTTGGATATATATATTGAGGAGTGGGATTTATATGGCCACTCTGGAAAGCAAAGGGTGGGAGGAGGGAGGGAAAGGGAGAAGGATAGGAAAGATGGTAGATTGAGATGGACATCATTACCCTAAGAACATTATGAAGACACAAATGGTGTTACTCTACTCTATGTACAACCAGAGATATGAAAAATTGTGCTCTGTATGTATAATATGAATTGTAATGCATTCTGCTGTCATATATAACAAATTAAAATTTTAAAAATATAAAAAAGAAAGCAAACTACCTATCTAAAAATTCTAAATGATGTTTTTAAGAACATTGATAAAATTATCTGAATAATGAAAAAAAAAACCTAAGATTGGAACCACCATAGGACCATTTTTAGTAGAAGGTGTGAATAGGCATCTTTGTCTTGGTCCTGATCAAAGAGGAAAAGCTTTCAGTCTTTCAGGTTAAGCATGATGAAGTAGTTTCTCTTTCTTTTATTTTTTCTCCTTTGGCAGCTGTGTCTGTTTTAGGGATCATACAGAATTATAAATTTAAGGTCTTCTCAGGGTTTTTTCTTTTTTTTATGGGTGCATTATAGTTGTACCCAATAGTGGGACTTGTTGATACATAGTTGTACGTGCACGCAGTATAACTATAATTTGGCCAATATCTCTCTCCAGCATTTCCTTCCTTTCTCAATTTTTTTCCTAAGACTACATTTTTCTCCCCTGTGGTTATCTATAGTGAGTTTCCAATTTTTTCTGTATATGTGGCTGTTTTTGAATGTCCTAATCCCTAAATGTTTAGTTCCTATAAGAGTAAAAGAGAAAAATTTAGCGGGGAGAAGGGGGCTGACCCTGGAAGTTTCTTGGAAGTTATTCATCCCAATGTGATGTGACTGACAATCATGGGGGTAAGGAGTGCAGTGTCTGTACCTCTGCAATCAGAAGCAGATCCCTGACATCTGGTGGACAAGGTCCTTGTTGTCCACCCTGACTCTCACATCCTACATGCAGGCTGATCCTGGAACACATGCATAGCTCCTGCCAGAGCACTGCAGGGTGGAGAAGGGTAGCTGCTACCATGCTAAAAGCTGAAATTGACGAAAATGAATTGCAATTTACTATCCAGGCCTTCCCCTGGAGTTGCAAGCCTTGGAATAGACTCCAGAATTGCAAAATAGTTATATTGGAAAGATTCTGCCAGGCCAGTTGTCCAGATGGGAGACTGATTTCTCGTGCTTCCTACTCCTTCATCTTTACAAAATACTCTCTCCCAATGCATATTCTTATTTAACTTACAAAACAGATTTATAAAAGAGGTATGGTTGTTTCTATTTTTAGATGAATCAATTAAAGCTTGTAAACACCAGGGGTTACAGATCACAGACATGCTGAAGCTAAGATGTGAATCTAAATCTGGCTGACTCCAAAGCCCAAGCTCCTTATGACTTCTCCTATGATTCTCAAACTTAATCATACATGCAGATCACCCAGGATTTTGTAAAATTGCAGGTTCTGATTCAGTTGGTCCATATTTCTCCTTTTCTAATGAGCTCCCAGGTGATGCAATATTTCTTGTAAATGCTACTTTGAGTAGCAAAGCAGCACAGTGCACTTCCCTTTCAGGTCAAAGAATAGACCCAAGGGAAAAAACATGATAATTAGATAAATGCTGTCCCCTTCCTCTCAGCACTCCTCCTCTTCCTCTTCCTCCCATTAGATACTTTTCCTTACAGCCATGCTGCCCGTGGTTACCCAGGGGTTGGCTGCACTTTATCACCTGAGTCTTCTGACCAAAGTCAGTCCCTACAGCCTTTCTGCTTCTTTCCTCCCAGCAGCACATAAAAGTATTTTATGTCCCTCTTCAGTAACAGTGAACACCTTTAGTCCCAATGTCTGGTTTCTAAATACCACTCTTCAGAATAAAGAACTGGGGCTCTTTAGAGAAGTCATTAATTACAGGGTGAGCCAGAGAAATCACAAGATGGGCCTGGAATATTTTGAAATATCAGAAAACAAGGACATGCTTCAAAAAGGATAGAAACATACCAAAAAGACACAAGAGCCAACCTGAAGGAGTTCCCAATGACTAAAGCCATTTGAGTAACAAAACAATTAATTGCAGCATGGTATTATAATCTGTAGAATAAAATAAATATCCATAAGTACATATTTTGATCCACAAACAATTGAATAAATAAATGGGGATGAAGAACACTCTTCCTTCTAGAAGAATCCTGATGAATAAATATAGAAGGAATAAAAACAGAAAATTATCATTAGACAAGCGCCATAATAATTGTTATAGGCAAGATGCACCAATAGATGCTCAAAATCTGTGGGTGTAAAGTTTGAGAAGAAATAGATGTTTGCATAGTTTCCAAATATTTTCTCTAAACAAAGCACACAAAAAAATGTGTTTTTGGCCAAAGTTAACCTTGATCAGAACATTTATTAGTAATAAGAGATGTACATCACCATTTCTTCAGTATTCTTACCAAACATGCATAACTTCAATCTAATTCTAAGAAAATGTGAGGCAAACTTAAATTGAAAAGCATTCAATAAAATAGCTGGCCAGTACTCATCAAGTGGCAAAGTTATCAAAAAAGAAAAGACTGAGGGACTACCAGAGTGGCAGGGACTATGGGGACATATAGTTAAATGCAATGTGAGATTTTGATTTGAATCCTGGAATATGAAAAGGACATCTGTGAAAAAACTGGTGATATTCAAAAAAAGTATATAGTTAATAGTATAAGAGCACCAATATTGGTTTCCTTGTTCCGATCATTGTACCTTGGCTATGTAAAATGTTAACATTAAGGAAAGCTAGGTGAAGGACCTGCGTACTCTGTACTTTCTGAAATCATCTCCATGTGCACTCAAGTTTCAGCTTCCAGTTTTTAGTCATTGTGTGCATCTGAGGACTTCTGAGAGGTTCCACCATTACTGATTTGGCAAAGTAAGAGATGAGATCATCTATGATGGGGGACAATGACTCTATTTCTCATGGTGTTGCCTTCTTTTCCAGGAGATATTACATCAGGATGGTGGAGAGAGGTTAGGAAAACATGCAATATTCACCAAAAATAATGCAAATAAGTGGCATTATATACATAGTTGGTATGCTTCTGAAAAAATGCCTCAAAATTTAATTTTTAAAAATAAAATAACATGTAGAAATTCTCCACTTAACTGTTTACTGTGTCACATTAAAAAAAACTACAACTACAATATGCTTTGGGAAGAAATGTGCTGAGAAAAAAATATTTTAAAAGATTCATCTTGAGTTTGAGTTCTGCATCCTCTTGAAAAAGAAATGGTATCCAATAGAAGTTCTCCTAATGGACATATCTTTTGTCATTCATACTGGAATTCAGCCAAGTTTGATTCGTGTGCCACTGTTATTAAGATGTATAATTGTACCTTGGGTAGTAGGTAAATCACAAAACCATTGTTTCAAATATTCCAAACATGATTGGTTCTCTTACGGTGTATTTATGTATTTTGTGAATTTACATTTTTGTTATGTAAGTTTTCTTAACATGTAAAAACTTCCTATTTTTTCATAATTTTTTTTCCTGAGATCTATTCATATGTCTCATCTAAATTCATCTCCCTCTGGGATATCTCTGTGAAATAAAGGACAGAAATTATTACTCCATTGTATGGTTGAAGAACCTGAGGCTGGGGTAACTTGCACAAGAACCCCCTCATCCCCGCCAATCAATATCAGATAAAGACAAAACACATGGATTTTTTCCCCCTCCATTATCTAAAATTTAAAGTCTCACTTATTCTTGGCCAATCAGCTGTTCCTATTATAACTCAAGTGGGACAAAAGGGAGTGAGGGCATCCAACCCTCATGTGGCTTAAGACCTGTAGGTGGCACTTACCAAGCAGAGAGGAGTACAGTCTCATCATTGAGAAGGCAAGGTGGATGGGAGATGTTTGAACCACAAATTTACAATGATGATGAATAAACTCCAGGCAGGGCTGGACAAGCCACATGAACATGTCATTGACCTGAGAGTAGAAAGCTGTGTGAGATTGGCAGATGTTATCAAAAAGGGAGTTGAAGACTAAGAGCTTGGTCCCCCTCAGGAGGCTGGGGATGTAAGACTGCTGATTACTTTTGAGCATAGGTTCAAAATTTAAATATTTCAAATTCTGATTTTTATTTTCTGTGGGCTGGTGATATTCAGTATGACACTCTGTCATGATGCTGAGCAGTAGCAGCCAGACAGCTCCATGTCCATCCTGCAATCATGGGAGAAACCACTAATATTTTATAGTGTGCTGTGTTGCTAATGTCCTGTAGATTAGGTGAATAAAATGCATTTTCAACTTACAAAATTTTCAATTTATGACAGATTTGTTGAGAGATAACTTCATCTTAAGCTGAGGAGCATCTGTATTTATTCAGGAAACAAATATTCATTGAGCATCTACTAAATGCATTGTAAGAGTGCTGGGGATAAATGATGGATGAGATAGGCAAAGTCCATGCTAGCTTACAATCTGAGAAGCTAGGAATACAGACAACTAAAAAAACAAACAAGGAAATAAAATAAAATACTTATAGATCATGGAAAGTATTTGCAGGAAACAAATGACAGTTGGTCAGGGAAGGTAGGACTAACCCATAAAATGAGTTGGGACAAGATTTCTATTATGAGGAATAAAAAGTACAAAAGCCTTGACATAGTGAAACCTGGAGTTTTCTAGAATGAAGTCAAGGGAGAATGGCTGGAGGAATGAGCTGGAGGGACGAGGTTGTAGAGGCAGCCAGGGGTAGGTAACAGAGTACTGCGAGACCTGATAAGGAGTGAGGCTCTGAGCTGAAGACACTGGGGATGGGCTGGGGGTATAGCTCCATGGTGGAGTGCTTGCCCAGCATGTGTGAGGCCTTAGTACTACAAGGGGGGAAAAAAGGACATTGGGGAGATCATGAAGGACTTTACAAGCATGGGCCTTGGTAGCATTCACTGTGTGTATGTGTGTGTGTGTGTGTGTGTGTAGACTGGTTCCTGAATGTACATGTGGACAAGTATCTATTTACAAATGCATGTGTTTGTACATATTATACATATATGTACATGGTAACAGTATCCACGTGGTGGGACAGAACTCAACTCTTGTCTCCCTCTGTGGGGACTTTCCTAAGGATGTCCCTTAATACAGGGATTAATAGACAAGAGGCACCACAAACACAGGCTGTCCCTTTCTCCTTCCCTCGCCTGAGAGTGTAGCTATGTATCTATGACCTGAGCTTTTCTACCTCTTTAAGGAAGGGAAGAAGGGAACTGTCATTTGTAGTAGCTGCAAGGAGAGCATCTCTCTGGTTCTAGCTTCCTCTTTGAAGGAGAGGTAGAGGATAGGTTACAGGGATAGGGATCAGCAACAGAGAGGAACATGACTCTTCCTAACAGGGTCCAACTCTACGGCAACTTCTACAGACATTTCTGTTTACAGGCAATAGAGGAAAGGATGATAATGGAGGAAGGGGTGACATAAAGAGTATTTCTCAGGATTCACCACTAGGGAGCTGAGAAGTGATAGAGAAGGTGGAAGAATGGGGAGAATTGACTGCACCATTCCATCCTCATCACATGAAGAAGAAATCTGGGGGAAAAATGGCAGGAAGACAGGAAACAAGATAACTGGAGGAAGGCAGGGAATCCCTCCCCTTCTTTCATTCTGGAACTCCGAAGATGAAGATGTACCTAGAAGGTTCTGTAGATGAGTAGGGAAATGGGGGTGGGATGGGAGGAAAGGGGCCCGTGGGTCTCACCAATTCATGGTGTTCCTCAGTGAGGCTGGTGGGCAGAGTGTCCATGTACGAATCCTTCAGGGGCTTCCAGCCTAGTTGAAGTGGCTCCATGTAGATCATCCCACACCTGGGAAGCACAGAGAACCAGTCTGGTGCTCTCTGTTAGCAACACTGGCCAACCTGTATTGAACATCTGCTGTATTTTATGCACTATTCTAGGCCTTAGTGGACTTGACAATGGCCTTCATCTAGCCACATGATCTCCCTGTCCTACTCCCCTAAGTGTCCCCAGCTGCAGTGACGCAGCATCTTGAACCTTGACTTCTTTCCTTCTTACATAGTTTTAGAACATTTATGTGTTTCCTAAAATGTATACGTAGATACATTTTTATTTTAGTGATTTTTAACAATTTAAGTGGGGACTGAAGTAGAGCAAATTATAATTCATACATGTATGATCATGTCAAAATGAACCCCTTTATTAAATATAACTATAATGCACTGATGAATATATAGTTATATTACATATAACTATAAGGCACAGGGGTACCATGCTGAAGGTAATATTGTGGACTTAGTTTTATACATAATATTGCTGTGATTTGATCCTTAATATATTTACTAAGACTTATCTGTACAGTTGCATGTCAGAGCAGCTCCGTTTATTTTGCATGATATGTATATCACAATTTCTGGTTACATTATCCTTCAGTTATATTATACCTGTTTCTAAATGTTTGTTTTTGTGAGTTGTGACACTGTGAATATTCTTTATAGGTCTCCTACTATTCATAGTAAGTCTCTTTTGGGCATATAGTTAGGAGCAGAATTGCTGGGTCATGGGCAAATGGAAGTTGAACTATTAGAGAGAAAGTCAAACACTTTTCCAAAGTACTGGCTTGATTTTAGATTTTAGTATGGATTAACGACTGATTTATGACACGTGTAAGTGAATGTCAAATACGTTCAGTAGGACTTAGTCACATTTGTGGCTTTTCAGAGCTTATTTCCTGATTAGGGCTTGGATGCCAGTGTGAGCTGATTTACCTACTCACGGTGGCAGGAGAGGCCTGTTCAAGGTCGGCTGGCTCAAAGATCAGACTCATCTTGGTGGTCATCTGGATAATCTCCCCACTCATTAAACACAGCTGAAAGGGTAAAGCAGAGGGGTGGAGGACAGGCCTAGGGGTTAAATTCCATCTGCAAGTGAAAGATCTCAGTGGAGGCAGAGCTGGTTTGAATGCATTCCACAAATGTTGAGTACCTATTATGTGCTTGGCACATAGTCATTTCTAAGCCCCTTTCTCTTAGTTTAACATAGGACGTAACTGCACATCCTCATCCTGTTTTATCTGCTCAAATCTCTCAGACAAGATTCTATTTGAACCCTGCCAATGGACTAGTCCATGGCTACAGTGATAAGAATCTTTCCATAAATCTCTTTTGGAATGGGATGGAAGACTGTTGGAAGTCCTAGTATTTGGCAGGCACATCCTGTAGAAAGAGGTGCAAACACAAAGGTGAGCCTCAGAATATGTGCCTCATTCACCATTGCCCACATGGGCTCAGGTGACACCATGAAGTCCTAAAAAAAAGCCTGGGCCCTGGTCTCCCAAGGAGAAGGGAAAACACCACAGGTCCCTGCTGCTCTTCCTAATTTGTAGTAAAAAAGTTCCCTGCATGTTACCTGGCCCATATCACTACATGCACCTCCAGAAAGGTCACAACTGTAGTGGGGCTAACACCCCAGCTGTGTCATCTTTGAATATAAATAAAAGTAACAGAGACCACCCTGAACTATAGTTTGATTTATATCAAACTATAGTTGTTGAGAGGAACCATTAGGGAATTCCCTGGTTATAACTCTCTTAATGCTTCTTCTTTTTCTTTTTTCTTTTCTTTCTTTTTTTTGGTACAAGGCAGGGATTGAATTCTGGTGCACTCAACCACTGAGCCACATCCCCAGCCCTATTTTGTATTTAAATAAAGACAGGGTCTCATTGAGTTGCTTAGCACCTCACCATTGCTGAGGCTGGCTTTAAGCTCACGATCCTCCTGCCTCAGCCTCTGGAGCCATTGGGATTACAGGCATGCACCATCATGCCTGGCTATTTATTTATTTTTAGGTGGTGTTGAGGATTGAACCAAGTGCCTCACACTTGTGAGGCAAACGCTCTACCACTGAGCTACAACCCCAGCCCCTCTCTTCATACTTAAGACCAACAGATACATTAGTTTACATAGTATAGCCCATATCATATAATAAAACATTCCTATTTTTATGTTATATCATCAAAATTATGCACATGCTAGAATTAACATGTATAATTTGGATAATTATTACTTCCACTGTAGAACATGACTAATGTGTATTCTTGTGACAGCAAACAGTTTTAAAATATATTCTGATTTGATAATGGCACCTATTTAGCATAGGAACTCTCATTTGAAGTAGTGATACATTTTATTTTACGTTATAATTTCATTTTAAGCAATAGTTTACAGTGCTTGCTTTATGTCAGGCACTATGATAAGCAGTTTGCAAATATTAACTTATCTTCCTAACAACACTTTGTAGACATTGTCATCCCCATTTCTAGATTCATGACCCTTCATTTTTTTTTTTTTTTTTTTTTTTTTTTTGGCACCACGGATTGAACCCAGGGGTAAAATTGAGGCCTTGAGAAAATAAAGAGCTTGTCTGAGATTACTGAGCTGCCTTGTGGTGGCCAGGGTTTGAACCCAGGGTGCCTGGCTTAGGTCCAAGCTCTTTAGTGTCACTGTATTTTCTGTGGCAGATTGTATTTTCCAAAGACTCTAACAATGCATCCATCCCATGGATACTTTTATAGTGTAAACTTGTCTACCTTCATCAAGAGACAGCATCTATTTCCCTGTTCTCTTGACTCTGGTTAAGTCAGAGACTTCTTTAACCAACAAAACTGGAGGAAGTGACTGAGTGTCATTCTAAGCATGATCCTTCTTTTTTTTTTTTTAAATTTTTCTGGCACCAGGGATTAAACCCAGGGGCACTCGACCACTGAGCCACATCCCAGCTCTATTTTGTATTTTATTTAGAGACAGGGTCCCACTGAGTTGCTTAGCACCTTACTTTTGCTGAGGCTGGCTTTAAACTTATGATCCTTCTGCTTCAGCCTCCTGAGCTACTGGGATTATAGGTGTGAGCCACCGTACTCGGCTATGATCCTTCATTTCTTGGAAACTTCCACTGCCTGCCTCTTGGAAGTCAGACACGCACTAGTGGAAGTGTGACTATCTAGAGACTGCCATGCAAGGCCTGGAAGGCGACATGCTATTTAGAGAGGGGGAAAAAAAAAGAGGCCAAGAGGAATGAGCACCTGGCACTGAATGAAGGAGCTATCGTGAATGTGGATCCTCTAGTACAGTTGCCCCCACTAAAATCACCAGAATTAAAAACCAATTGCCAGGCTAGGGTTGTGGCTCAGGGGTATAGCACCTGGCTAGCATTCATTAGGCACTGGGTTTGATTCCCAGAACCACATTAAAAAAAAAAACCCTAAATAAACAAAATAAAGATACTGTGTCCATCTACAACTAAGAGAGGTGATGGGAGGGGAGGGGAGGGGAGCAGGGTATAGGAAGGGGATAGGAAGGGCAGCAGAATACAACAGACACTAGTATGGCAGTATGTATAAACGTGGCTGTATAACCAATGTGATCCTGCAATTTGTACACATGGGAAAAATAAAAATTCATACCCCATTTGAATCAAATGTATGATATATGATATGTCAAGATCATTGTAATGTTTTGAGCAACTAATAAAAATAAAATAAAATAAATTAAAAAAACCCAATTACTTCACTGAGCCCTTTCAAAATGCCCAACCCACAAGATCATGAGAAAAATAGTTTTTCTAAGCCACTAAATATTAGCATAGTTTCTTAAACAGTAATGAATAACCCACATTCCATATGTATTATCTCTCTTCATTATCAACAGTCCTATTATATTTTTATGAATGTGAAAACCAAGTATATAAGTTGCCTAATATAACACAGCTCAAGGGTGGTGAAGAAGGTTCAACTTGATGTCATCATCAAGGTTTTTAACCACTATTCGACATGGTCTTTAATCAGATTTAGCTTACTGACTACAAATACAAACAGAAGCATAATTCATGAACTAAAAACTGTTCTTCTCTCGTGGAGTATTCATTTTTAGGGTGTTAAATGCATGTGTTTGTATCGTTTCACTCACTCACTCACTCACTCACTTTAATAAAAGATGTATCCCACCCATGAAAAAGTGATAGATTCCATAGCTACCTTTTTATTGTCATCCAGAACAGTGTTCATATTTTCAATCCAAACAGCATCCACTGGTCCATCAAAAATAATCCACTTGCGGTCATCAGACACTGAAGATGCTTGTTCTCGGAAAGCATTGGCTAGGACACCGTCCGTCCATTCATGGCTCACTGGGTCAAAAAACCCATACAGCTGCCCCATTGTTATGGCCTTGGGATTGATGATCTTGAACTCCACGGCAAACTCCTCCATCTGATTGGCTGGGCAAGAAGGTCCAACATAGTTACAAAGGCTCCAGTGAGACCAGAACATCAAGCCAGAGATAATGGCATCTCAGAGGCTATCCAAGGAAGAGTCCTTAGAGAATATATTTGCATAAAAAGACTGGGGAATCTGGATAGGCTATGACTTAAATTTTTGGGTTATTATAGTCAGTGTTTTCCCTCATACTTTTTTTGGGGGGCGGGGGTGGTACCAGGGATTGAACTCAGGGGCGCTAGACCACTGAGCCACATTCCCATCCCTATTTTGTATTTCATTTAGAGACAGGGTCTCACTGAGTTCTTTAGTGCCTTGCTTTTGCTGAGGCTGGCTTTGCACTTGGGATCCTCCTGCCTCAGCCTCCTGAGCTGCTGGGATTATAGGCATGTGCCACTGTCCCCTGCTCCATTATACTTCCCTTCTGTGCCTTATTTCCATCAGGGCAAATGTACCAGTCAGATCCAGGATGAAAAAAAAAATCTGACTGGACCTAAAGAATTCAAGTATTAAAGAAGACAGATTTCATCTCCTCAGCCCTCTTTACTCACCTGCTGTTAAAGCCACCTAAGAACCTTGGCATTGGTGTGGGATGATGAAACAACTGATAGGTAGATTCTGAAAGATGGTGGTCACTTTCCTCTATCTAAAGGGCTAGCTTAGCCCTTAAATCTTTTTTTCTCACCTACTCAGTGTCACCTGTTCCCAGGGAAATGCACACATTTGGAGTTCTAGGACCCAATAAGAGTAACCAGGATGATGAATGTACAGCATTTATAACAGAAAATAATGACACTTTTCATGATCCTTCAGAGTAAGAAAAAGTTGGAATGCATGAACCAAGCAGTAAATAAACAACTATTTCTGCAGAATTTGGAGGCAAAGATAATGGTGTATTCTCCTTTTTCTTCATTTCATTTCTTAAACTATATTTAAGTTCCAAAATTATTACCATATTTAAATTTGAAATGCCAAATTTAGTTATCAAATCTAAGTTCGTTCCTAAAACAAAATTAAAAAAACACAATTGAATCATCAAATGTCATTAGAAAACAATTTTAAATGAAGTACTTGAATTGATTATGTAAACACACAACACTGGACTGCTTTTCAAAACTGCAGGTTTGCCTTTTATACCAAAACAAACAACAAATTATAAAACCCTAAACTGTTTATCTGGCAATAAACAGCTTCTATTTGTTGAGTCGGCTAGATTATTCACCTGCATAATCTCATTTAACTTTCATAACAATCCCATTTTACAGCTGGGAAAACAGAGGATACGAGAAGGGGTTGTTTGAATCATTCATTTTGAGTGTAATTAAAAAATATGAGCTCTTTTCCCTACCTTAAAAACAAGGAAGAAGGGAGACAAGGAGAAAAGATCAGAAGGGAAAGGGAAGAAAAGAGAGAAGGGAAGAAGGGATAGAAATAGAAAGAAAAGAAAACAAATCATTCAATGGTTTGCTTTTGGACTCATGTTGTTTAGGCCAATGACAGGAGTCTCTCACTGGGGAACTGGGAGAAGCCACTGTTCAGCATTTGAGAAATTTCCCCCAGCCTTAATGACAGACACATAAAGCCCCTTGTTAGAATTCCCCTACCCCACCATTTATTTTCTGCCTGCAGACATCTGTGTGCCATATTCTATTTCTAGATCTGACATCATGATTCAGGATTGGCAAAACTCGCAACCTGGCATTATCTGAACATGGAGCCAGCCAGCTGAGCAGGGAGTCCTGTCCTCGCTGGAAGTCAGGGATGTGAGCTTTACCTGCATATAAATCACCCAGAGCTGCAGCCAACACCTTATAAGCAGAAGTCTTTCCGCCCATGGGGTCTCCAACAATCATATAGCCGTGTCTTACCAGCATCATTTCATAGATCTAGGAGGAGACATCATGTAAGAAGTTAATCATTAGTTGGGTGCTGTGACCCACACCCTCAATCTCAGTGACTCAGGAGGCTGAAACAGGAGGATCACAAATTTGAGACCAACCTTAGCAATTTAGTGAGACCCTCGTTGACTTAGTGAGACTCTGTCTTAAAAAATTTTTAAAAAAAGAGCTGGGGATGTGGCTCAGTGGTAAAGCATCCCTGGGTTCAATCCCCAGTACAAAAAAAAAAAAAAAAAAGGTAATCATTGCAAACCTTCCCATACTGCAAGTTTTTGAAAAGTCAATGAAGAGAGGCTGAGATTGTGTCTCAATGGTAGAGCACTTGCCTAGCATGTGTTAGGCACTGGGTTCAATATTCTCAGTACTGCATATAAATAAATAAAAGGTCCATCAACAATAAATAAAATAAAGGTCCATCAACAATTAAAAAAATTTTAAAAAAAAGAATGTTGCAGTGAATATTCTTAAAAAAAATCAATGAGGAAGAAAAGGCTCAAAGAGGATTTTCATACACACTCCTAACTGGTGAACTGCAGTCCTTTTGGTAATCTATTGTTAAAATATTTTTGGATGAATAAGTATATGTGTGTCTCATATTGTTAAAGGGATGGGAGCTACTATTTGTTTTCATCTATCTATGTGCCAAGTATCAAGTGATTGTCCAAATTATTTCATTTAATCTACTCAAGTATCATTAACAACCTTTTACAGATAAGAACACTGAACTCAAAAGAGCTTTAGTAATTTGCCCAAGCTCTTCAGTGATGGATCTGGGATTTCGACATGGGTCTGTCTGACTTCAATGCCTCTAATTTTTTCATTACATCATTGATACTGCTATTTCTTTTATATTTTCTTGTTAACAATTTTTGGTTGGCATATAATATTTGCACGTTTATGGGGTAGAGTATGATAAAAGTCAGGGTTAGCATTTTCATATCCTCAAAAATTTACCATTTCTCTGATCTCACTAGAGTTAGAGTAGAATGCCAGTCCATCATTGGGCTAAGATAGGGGGGTTGGGATAGGAGGGGTAGAGAGAGGTTGGATTACTGGTACCAAAACTCAATAATGATAAAAAGAATTACTTCTGTGTTCTATAACACAGTATTATATATGACATACACTTTTACAGTGGAAAAGGAAATGATTATTCAGCAAATTGTATTTCTATTGGAAATTTCCATTTTAGAGGTCTAATTATGCAATTCTGACACAAATGTTTAGGTCACTAGTTTTTATGTGAAATTTAATGTATTTCTCCCCCCACCCTCTTTCTTCCTTTAGACTGCAAGTCCCTCAGAGAAACACAGGGAGCTTTTCATTTTAAAGATTGAGTTATTATTTTTTACCTTGGAGGTGACTGTGTACCACCATGCCTGGCAACATAAATTGTTTTTGAAAAATCACCTTATTTTTGAAAAGCTGTTGCTATAGGCTATAGAAAAGTTCACCTATAGGTCTGCAGATTTCTTCAAAATACATACAAAAATGAATGGATGGATGGATAAGTAATAAAACAAGTACCATAAAATTATAAAATCTAGTGCTAGGTATATGGGTGTTCATCACACAATTCTTTTAACTTCTCAGCATATTTAAACGTTTTCATAAGAAGATATTGGGATAAAACTCATATTTAGTTAAGACCGTCCATCTGTGAAATCCCAGTGCATATATCCGTGTCACTTTGGGAAATGACGATATTGACAGTGATGTGGAGACAGCGGGTTGATAATGACGTAGCCTCAGGCATGATATCTAGCACTTCTCATACCTGTTCTCTCAAAAGTAATCCTGGGGAAAGTTTTACTCCTTTCCATTTTACAGATGAGGAAACAAGGCTCACAGATGTTGAAATAATTTGCCCCAAATCTCATAACAACAACAAAAAGACGGATGGGAGTGAGATTTGAACCTAGGTCTGCATTAATCTGAAATTTACTCCCTTCTCTGGACCCAAGTATCCTTACGAAGGCTGGACCAAATGGTATTTAAGATCTCCTGTAGATCAAACCTATTATTCTGCAAAGTAAGCCCATGGGGGGCTTACCATTAAATATATTATTGTAAGTTAGTTTTGCATTGAAAAATGATCCCAGGGAGGCAACCCTGGAATCCGCATGAAGGTGCTCCAGGGTGAGGACCGGGGAGACATTCCTGATTTCCCTGCCCAACACCCCGTTTTCTGTTCTGTTGATAACAGCATCTTAATTTTCCCTGGGGAGCCACCATGTGGTGGTCGACATGACTTGGGTAGGACACTCTCTGCATCTTTGTCATACCATTCAGTTAGAGGCAGTCAGGTGACTTTATCAGAACCATCCAAGGCCAAGTCTGAGACCTCTGAGCCACTTGGAAAGGGATGCTTCTCCCCCCATGCTATTTTCTTCCCTGGGCTTGAACCTGGAACAATGTAAGTCTGAGGTTGCTGAGGGTAGGTGTGGGTACCTGAGTATGAATTTTTAACATCTGTAGAGAAAGGCAGAGTTCAGGAATGATGAGGAGAGATTCCTGATGACATTAACTAAAATCTCGGCTCCTGCTATGCCCGAGGCCAACACGTTCCGGCACTTCTCAAATCAGGTGAGTGAATAAATTCCTTTTTATTGATGAAGGCAGTGTGAATTAGATTTCTATTATTTGAAATGGAGAAGTCCTGGCTAATTTAAATCTCAACGCCCTGGAGTCTCAGTTTCATTCTCAAATGTAACAAGAAACCCCAAGGAAGATGGCCACAGAAAAGTGTATATTAAATTTCAACACCTAAAGATAAAACCTGAGGCACAATATATCAAGTGGTCAATTAATTTCATCTCTACTCAGGCACCTCTGCTTGCCGCCAGTCTAGCTCTCATCTGCCCTATGTCTTTTTTATTTTTTTTAATTTTTTGTACTGGAGATTGAACCCAGGAGTGCTTTATCCTTCACCTACATCCCCAGTCCTTTCTATTTTTTGAGACAGGGTCTCTCCCAGTTGTTTATAACCTTGCTAATTTGCCAAGGCTGGCTTCAAACTTGACTTCCTCCTGCATCAGCCCCTCAGGTCACTGGGATTACAGGCATGCACCCATCGCCAGCTGCCCTAAATCTTTCTAGTTTCAACTCTAGTAGATAGTAGGACAAGTGCATTCCCATACAGGTATAAGGAACCAACCTGGATAATTTTCCCAATAAACCAAGGCACTGGCTGGAGTTTCATCTTTTTCAAGTTCTCATTCAGTGCCTCCAGAAAAACTTCATAGTCTGGCTTTGGAAGCACGACTCCAGGAAACAGATCTGAGATAATTCCCTGTTTGCAAGAATTCAGGAGAAAGTGGAAAGGATGAAGTATCAGGCATGTGATATCAACATTTGCCTAAAGTAGGATCTACAGATAGCAGAAATATTTGAAAATTTCCAAAGCTTATTTTTCCTGCATCAAAATTCATCTGAAACCACAAACATCAGCACTGTTAATCATGATTATCCTTCCAAGTGATTTTAAAAGTAGGTAAATATTTAATGAATCCTAAGTACTAATTTCTAGTCACTATACTAAGGATGAACAGCCTGGGAAGAAAGATAGGTATAAATTAATTACAGAAAGGAACTAATTATATTGCATAAGAACAACTACCTAAACCCAACAGCAATTATCATCCTGCTAGGGAGACCATTTTTATTAAAATTAGAAACTAGACAGGGATGTAATTCTATTACCATTATTATTTAATATTTGGGAGAAGGGGATCAGGCCACAGAGATGGTGGCTGGAATGAGGAAGGGTATCATGAAATGGAAGAAGATATACATGACAATAGAATGCGTTTTAAAAAAGAAAAAAAAAAAAAACTAAAAAAAAAAAAAAGAAATGGAAGAAGATACAGAAAAAGTGCCAAAAAAACAAAAACAAAAAAATCATCTTCAGAGGGTGATCCTGGGTTCTTACACTGCATACCTGAAACAGAGGAACGTCTTGAGCTAAGAACTTGGCCAGGTTGACGTCAAGCAAGGCCCGGAGCAGCAAGACGCTTTCATCCTCCTCTGGGTACTTGAGCTTCAGGTTGCCAGCAGCAGTGAGCACAGACTTGACAGCCCGCATGCCATAGTCGTAGTGATGCTGGGAGGACAGCTGCTCTGAGCACAGGCGGTAGGTCGCAACAATCTTCTGGGCAAGACTAGGAGGGAAAGACATGTCTGTAGATCTTTGTGTCTGTCATTTCAGAAACCAGGTTTGCCCCATGGATTTGATGGGCAGAACCTATTATCTGAAAACCTTTTACTAGAGTTACCACAGTGAGTTCAGGAAACAACTCTCCTTCAAATATAAGATGGAAAAAAAAAAAGCAAGCACACACGTGTATAGCATGTATCGTGGATGAAATTACATTATATGCTTTCCTGTGTATACACAATTGCATGTACCACGTGTGCACATCACATACACGAGTTGGGAAAGAATACATCAAATTATTACAATGTTAATCCCTTAGAGTGAGACTAAAGGGAAATTCACTTTCTTCACTTCTGGGATGTTTTTTATTTTGTTGAATAACATTTGACTTTTTAATTCAAGAAAACCAATTCAAAATGTAACATACCCAGCACATAACACCTACCTATGACACTCACGTTCATAGCCATTTCCCCTTCTTCCTGGACATACACAGCTGACTACAGTTCCCAGTCTGCTGTGCAGTTAGGGGAAGCCATGCCCCTGTGTTCTAGCCAGTGAAATGTGAACGGAGAGGCAGATGCCAAGTCCAGGATCAGCCCAGGGAAACCTCCTCCCTGAGGCCCTTCTGGTCATGTTGCAGTCATGAGATAAACATAGCCTGGGGGTCTCTGAGGGACCCTTGGGGGAGACTGCTCCTGATCAGAAACATCTGCTTTGAATTTTTAGTAAGTAAAAATCAAGCTTTTGTCATGCTAAGCCACTGGATTGGGGGTGTGACCCTAACTAATATACAAATGTACATTCCCCTTAGGGAAATCCTCTTTACAAAACTGATTCACTTTAAATGCAAAGATTTTGTGCTGTTCACCAGCACCTAGCACAGGGCTAATAAGGTGGGTTGCTCAAAAAGGTTTCATTAATTGAATTTCATTAATTGAATTGAATGGTTAAATAAATTGATTGAATGGATAAACCAACGTAATGCAGGTCTACCATAGAAAAAATAAATTAAGCTTCACATGAGAGAGGAAGTCTCCTGGCCTAGGAAGGGTGACACATTCTGTTGAGGATTTATGCAGCAAAATACTCACCCATGGAGAAATCTATTGTTACAAAAAAAAAAAAATCAATCAATCACAGTAAAGACAAAGTAAAAGACAAATGTGAAATTTGGAAAAGAACAAAAAAAGCCATTTTAAAATGATTATCCAAAACTCTTGGGAGCACGTGTTGTGTGCCTGTGTACACATATGCATATAAAGATGTTGATCTACTAGTGTGTGTGTGTGTGTGTGTGTGCGTGTGTGTGTGTGTCTTGGGAAATTGGGCAATAACTGAATAAGAAGTAACCCAGCTGTTGGGAGTCATTAAATGTTAAATTGAAAACAATTTAATAAAATTGTTAAATTAAATAATATTAAACATTTCTCTTCAAATTTCATGGTTCACTATCTTACCTTAAGCTAGTTAGTAATGTGATGTGGATGTATTAGAGCTATGGGTGGGGAGGATATGAATGGGTACTCTCCTTAACAGAAGTCCAGGTGTAAAGAGAGAGGAAGCTCTTTCTTTAGCATTTCCTAGTCAAAAATGGAGTCAGGAGCAAAGTTAGGACTATATGTTCTCAAATTAGCCAGTGAGGGGAAGCGAGTTTCTCAAGTGATTCTTTTTCAAGTTTTTAAATTCACCACACAAAATCCACTCTCTGAGGGCCTTCATGACCCACTGGAAAACCACTGTAACTTACCTTCTAGAGTCCAGAAACCCCATAGAATAGAGGGAGATTTCTCCAATGAGGGCATAATCTGGCACCATCATAGCCACTGTCCGGAATAATGCCTGGAAAAGAAATAACCAATCAAAACCAGAACACAGACAAGGAGAATCCTGGGGGAATACACATCTACAGAGAAAAGGGAAAGGAGCATGATCACACGCAGGCCGCGTGATCATGTGACAATCAAGGAAAGGAGGGGCGGATAATGATTCAACACAGAGGGACCATCTTCAATGTATGATACCTTCCCCTTTGTCCCTGTCCAAGTACATGCTATTACACTGAGTTCCTCAATGACTTTATGGAAGAAAGCTCCTAGGTGCTGGTGTCCCAACACCTCATTCTCTTGTGTCCAATGAGGACATCTCATGGTATCTTTCAACTGTTGGAGCTTCCTGGTGCTGAACATGGACATCAGAAGTCATTTAGGAACACAAGACCAACATGTGCCAGAATTATCCTCATGTCACAGAGATCTTAAATTGAGTTCTTATGCTTAGCTATGGGCAAGTTATATAACCCCCCTAGACCTCAGGTGTTTTGTCTCAAAATGAACTAGCAACTTTAACTCTTCATGGAATTAACGTGAGAACAAATGATATTATGTAAGTGAAGTGTTTACCCATGGATATGGCATAGAGTGAGTGCTCAATAAACATCAACTCTGGTGCTATTATCTTGGACCCTAGAGGAAGCAACTCGCCTGGCTCATGCAGTAAGTTAGAGACAGAGCTGCTTGGAATCCAGGCTTCCTGATACCAGCCCCTGGTGCTTTGCATTTGCCACCCTGTCTCATGAAAGTTCTTTGTATAGATCTGACATGGTTGTGTGGGATGAGGGAAAGGGATAGTTAACATCTGGGTGGCAAAAAAAAAAAAAAGAGAGAAATGTGGGTCCGAATTCTACATTGACATTAACTAGCTTATGCTGACTTACAGAGGTGAATTTCCTTGACTCTT